AATTATGGATATCATGAAATATGTTAATAAAATTAATTGTTAATTTTGATTTATATTAAAATTTAGATTTCAATCGATATCAAACATGATTTTATAAAAAAAAAAAAAAAAATCTCAAAAGTTAGGTCGCCCATGCCCGTGCCTAATGTGCCCATACACCTAAGAGTGAATTAAAAGGCCCAATTTTTTATTAGCTTACATTTAGCGTAGACCCATTTTACTTTTAGTGGAAATTACAATGCATTCGACTTTTAAAGAATAAATTCTAAAAGTGAAAATTACACAAATAAGAGTTTTCAAGATTCAATTTCAAATTTCAATTATGAGGTTTCACTTTTCAAAAATCAAATATTGAATTGATAATTAAATATTATACACACTCAAACCTTAATTTTATTTCATTTCTCTCCCTTCTCTCTCTTAATTTCTCTTCCTCTTCATTTTTCTTCCTCTTTTCCCTCTTCGACAATCGACGACACATTCAAACTCCTAAAATCGACGACGAAGGAGATGCTCCGGCCGACGCTCATGGCGTCACACGCTGCTGAGAACGACTTTCTCTTTTCCGATATGCCTTCTTTCTTTTATTTTCTCTCACTTCGACACTGTCGGCGCTTCGCTATGAACGACGCTTCATCTCCCTCGAGCCATCGTCGTTTCTCTTTTTTTTTTTGCATCTTCTACATCTGTTTCTAGTTGGTATGATGGTGGTGGTGGTGGTGGTGGCGGCGGCGGTGGTTTGAGGATTTTCCGCACGATGGTTAGGTTGTTTCTGTGGGTGTGGTAGTGTTGGAAGGAATCCTTGATTTTAGCAGGCGGTGGTTGATTAGAGTTGCAGGTGGAAGTGGTGTGTGGTGTTGGAGCAGGTGTTTGTGGGGGCGGCGGCAACGATGTGTGTGATAGTCATGGCGTCGTTTTCGACGGCGGTGGCGGCACGTTTCTGTTGTTGGCGGCAGTGGTGGTGTGTTTCCGTTGGTGGCGATGGTGGTGCGTTTCTGTGGTATTAGTGGTGGTGGTCACAAATGATTTGGTTGATTGTAATCAATAAATTGGTTGGTGTGTGATCAATAAACAATATGTGACTAATAAAATAGATAAATTGTGACCAATAAATACTGTGTAACTTAAAAATTTATTAATTTGTGACCAATAATTTGATAAATTGTGACCTAAATATAATATATGATCAATTAATTTGATGCTTTGTGACCATAAAATAGTTGTGTGGCTTATAATTTTTTTGATTTGTGACCGATGAACAAGTTATGATTTTTAAATTTTTAATTTGTGACCGATGAATGAACTGTAACCTATAAATTTTTTGAATTGTGACCAAATTGCAAAAATATGTGACCTTTATATATTTATTTATAAAATATATAATTAATTAAATTATAAATAAATTTTAATGAAAACCTGATTTTTGAAATTTAAAACCTTTATCCTTAATTTTGAAATGGTGATATTTAAATACCTTATTTATGTATTGTTCCCTAAAAATAAATAACCAAGCCCAACTAGAAGTCCAAAATGGTCATCTAAATCTTGATTGACAAAATAGCCTTTGTGCACCTTTACGAGCCTACTTTAATTCCCGGTAGAAATTCGCAAGAAAGCTGTAATGAGCCACCAAATTCATTTGAATATGCCACCATCATTTTCTTGTCACTATCACATTTAGGCTCCGTTTGATTCGCCATATTTTCCATGGAAAATCTAACTTTTGTAGTGTTTGATAGGCAAAATTTTCCCGAGAAAATTTTTTCCACATTTTTTAGGAAAATAAATTCTTTAAATATGGCCGTTATTGGGTCTCACTCGTCTAAAAAAAGTCAACATTAACGGTTATATTTTCAATTTTAATCCGATTTTAATCCCTCCCATACAAGGCCTATATGTTTAATTAATTAATTTAAAAAAAATCTAAGATTTAAAATTTAAAATTTAGTTTCTTAAATTTGAAATTGATGAAACTTAACGTCTTAGGTATGAAATCTTCACATTCTAAAATCAGGTGATAGTTGCATTATTCATTAATAAGGCATTTAATATTAATAATAATATTATAAATTAATTTATACACCCAATATCTATACCATAATCATTCAAACCCTAATCATTTTATCCATTCTTCCTCTACCTTCTATCTTTGAGTAATGCTACCCACTGGGGTTGAGCCCCAATTTATGTGACAATTACATGACATTAAATAATAGATTCATTTAAATACAAAATCACATGACTCATTTAATTGAGTCTATCATTTAATACCATATAATTGTCACATAAACTGTGGTTCAACCCCAATGGAGATGAATATCATTATTATCTATCTTTCTATATCGTCTCTCTCTAGTCTCCCCTCACAAATAAACTCGTCGTCGCAGCAGCAGCTGGAGAGTACCAATGTTGGAGACCATCTTTCTCTACCCTATTAGCTGTGAGCACCGCGCCTATTTCGCGTAGTAGGTTAGTCAGATTCAAAAATATCGTGCTCGAACAGCCATGGGTGTTCGCTCAACGATGGTCATTGTCATTGCACTGGGTTTGCGCAAAGCCGTGCACAACGGCGTTGCCACTCATTTTTTGTGGTTTTATTGTGGTGGTTATATGTTGTGCAATGGTGGTTATTCTGTATTGTGCGGTGGTGGAGGATGGGTGGTGTTGCGCGGTGCGTTGGTGGCTTTCGGTTGGTGATCAGGTGTTCGATTGGTGTGAGATAGGATAAAAAGTTTGTGATCCATTATTTGAATTATTGTGACCAACTATTGGTTTTGAAGGTGGGATTTGGGAGTGGGGATGTGGTGTGGTGTGGTGTGGTGTGGTGGTGGCTTTGCGGTTGGTGGTAAGGTGTTTGATTGGTATGGGTTAGGATAAAGAGTTTGTGATCTATTATTTGAATTATTGTGATCAACTATTTGTTTCGAAGGTAGGATTTGGGAGTGGGGGTGTGGTAATGTGGTGTGGTATTTGTGATCAACTATTTAGTTAATTTGTGATCATTAAATAAGTCGTGACTTATAAAATTTATGAATTGTGACCTAAAAGTACGTAATCGTGACCATTAATTGTATAATTTTAACTTCGTGATCGAAAAATTCGATAATTTGTGTCTGAAAAACAACTCAAATAACTCGTGATTAACTAATTTGAAAATATGTAACCAATAAATAAGTTGTGACATATAAGTACGTAACTGTGATAATTAATTGTATAATTGTAACCTTAATATATTTAATTTATAAAAGATTTTTAATTTATTTATTTCCTGAGTTTTGGAATTGCAAACTTATTATTTGAAAATTGAATTGGCCTATTTGTAACACCTGAGATATGAATTTTCCCCATATATATATGTAAAACATTTAAATAAAATATCTCTTCGTTTGTTTTTTTTTTTGGTGCAACTTCAACTTTTATTTACTACGACATGTTCTAAAATAAATAAAGTTCTATTTGTCAAAAAAGTAATTAACGTTGTCAATGTCGGATGAAAGCCAGTGCGCACAGCCTTATTATTCAAATTATTTTAATTCTATACACAGATATAAAACCATTTCCCCAAGAACTATTCGTCAAGAACGCTTGTTTTTCTTGATGAAAAACTCGGATTCATTTGGACTCGGTTGACATCGCCTTTACTCATTTTCTTGATTTTGACCCTATTGTTAATACTCCATCTTTTCAAATGGATCATCACAAATGTTAAAAGCACCAAGGGCATCTTCAATAAGGTGAAAACTCAATAATTAATAAACAATATTAAGCAAAAAAGAAGTTAAAACCTTATTCATGGTACTATTCAGCCATACCCGTCTCAATCGTACTATTAGAGATAAATAAACTTGGTAACAAACAATTAATATAATTTTTGGTCGGATTACAATGAACTACATGAAAAACAGGAGCCTAAAAGGTAAAACTTCAGCTGTACGAGTTCATGGATTGTAAATACCTTCCATAACCTCAAACTCTATAGTTTCAAGTTTTCCTCCTCGTTGCTACATCGACTTGTAAGATACTCCTATTATCTACAAGAACCCTTATCGTACATGTAGAGAAGTACGTCTGGTAAAATTCGGGAGGTTGAAAACTCTTCTCAGAAACCCACTGGACATTAGCCTCCACCAAAACTCATTTTGGAAGAATTTGAAACCCAACAAATCCTGAATCCATGGTTAGATGAACTATAGGCAACTCCTACCATATTTGACAAAATCATCGACTGTCTGCGAGTTGTACGTGTCCTCAGAAATTTCTGCAACGTCTATTTGGTACCGAGTTCCTTATAACCAAGTGCCCTGAAATTAGATGGGCTTAATTCAACATGCTTCCCAAGCCTGTGAGAGATGAGACAAGAAACAATAGAAGGCATCATCCAAATGAGACTATCACAGAAACACGGGTATAAACTGCGTTTAGAAATTATATTACTAGTTTTAGAATTGAATTTTCTTGAACCACGGTGCAGCAATTTACCATGTGAATTTCACAAAAAGGTCGTATCATGTATGTAAATTAGATGCTGACAGAGAATGGAACGTGTGGTAATTTTCCATGACATTAAACGATGTTGCCAAACATCGATTTTTTTGAAAATAAAAAGGACTGGTATTTTCCAGTGTTGGATTTAAAAGTACCACTAATATAAAACTTACGCAAGATCAGATGGAAGCCTAAAACCAGCAATTCTTACACGCTTTAATGCATGAATCTGAAACAAGGGCAAAGAAGTTTTACAACACTATAATATTATTCACTTTTCAGAAAAAAATTAGACATTAGTAAATACACAAAATTCAGTGAACAAAACAAGGTAAATAAGAATGGCAACCAAATGACTGAGCTACACCCACATAATCAAGCACATATGAAACTTCATATGGCAAAAGCACGCAGAAAATCCCATATTACCTGAAGTCCAGCATTTTTAACAAGTTCCCGCACTTCATGGTTTCTTCCCTCATGAACCTGCACCAATTAAGCAACTACAGTTTAATTTTTCCTTTTTCCAATCACGTGCCTGGAATGTATTAGTATAAACTTGTATGTGCATGGAATTTTGAGAAATAGGTATTGAACATGAACTACGAGAGCTGGAATAGAAAAATAGATAAGTTCAGCTGCCAGCATATATGCAGAAAGGGATACGTACATATATGACACATACAATTACTGGTAATATATAATACCATTTACCAGGACATAAATGCCCAAGGCTTGCCATTTCCACTCAATATTCCTAGAAGTCATTTATCTCAACCTTTAATGTGAGTCAAATCCAGTCCGAAGAGACTCAATGATAATGCTCCAATTACATACAACAGACGGGAAAAACAATACTTTGTCAAAAGGAAATCAAGGGGTCAGCATGAGAAACACAAACGGCCATCAAGTGTTGGCCAACAAGCATTCCTGGAAGTCAGTTATGCTCGTTTAGTAGTTTTTGTCTTATGCATCATCTTGGACATCTGATCTGACTTTCTTTTCCTGGAATGTTACTCAAGCAGCTGAATAAATTCCAGCTGGGAAGTCTCTAGGACCAAATCATCACAAAAAAATAAAAATAAAAACCTTTGGTACACTAGCTACAGATTCCACCCCAAGAAAAAGGAAAAGGAAAAAAAATGAACTGGGAAGAGAATAATACCACAATCCGGAGTCTAGGTCTCAAAATATCTGGCTGCTGTGGTAGTAACTCCACTACATCAGGGGTGCAATGGACACCTTCTATGACTGTTCCCTCACTGAGTGCAAGTAAGTGCCGCTTATTGACCACACCATCAATAGTTGCAATATACCTGCCAGACGCAAATTGCACAGTGTCGAACATCAGAACACGGGTTAGCACAACATCATTAAACCATCCTAATGCTTGAGTCATAACAATAAATCATTGAAGTATGCATGTCGTAAAGGATTTATATAAGCAAGCATTAAGTCAATTACACTGGGGAAGTCCACGTTCTAGTCATTGCTGCGAGCTAGTATTATTAGTTCAGCAAGAAAATTAAAAGTAGTAACCTATGAAGCACCAACACATACACATCGACACGCGATTTTTTAGAAGCACTAACACGACATGTCGTCGACACATTGATTATATTCTTTAAAATTGAATTTATATAGTATAAATTTAGTTTTATATTTGTTATTAATTTCTCTTGTTGAAATCTATTTAAAGAAAAAATATCATGGTAGAGTGTTCGAGAAATGTCGCTATCTGATACGTGACACGGACATGCCACTCTAGCTGAAGTGTCCGTGCAACACAGACAGTAACTATTAACAAATCATTAGCCATGACAAAGGAATTTTGAAATATCATTCTAAAATGACTATGCGGTACGTGAATTTTCAGTCCATGATTGAGAAAAGTTGAAAACATACAGAAAAAAAGAAGAGAATAGAAAAGTGGATCCTTACTCTTTTGATAAATTGGATGAAGGATGTGAAAGCTTATGTGAGAATTCCCCTAAAACAGCATACAAACAGATAAATATGCATGGATTTCTTCATCAAAGCAAGCTTAATAAACATAGTATCCATCCGTTCCAAACACCATAGATATATATACCATCATTTGTCACGATGATCAACCCAGTTGTGGCAACATCAAGGCGACCAACTGTAAAGAGTCGTGGCTTTGGTATTCCGGGATTTCGTTTATTCTAAGAAAAATGCATAAGAAATTGTAAGTTTTCAAGAAAAATAGTTGCACAAAAAATTGCAAGACTCCTCAAAAATAAAAAATGAAGCAGGACGGTCCACCGTACCCAACTTTTCATAAAATCATCAAATAGAGATATCACTGACTTAGTCTCCTTTTCTCCTGCTGAGCATATGTAACTGCAATAATTTATGTTTTCACGTCAAGTCCGCCGCATATAAATTAAGGCTATGATCCAGTGTAAAACTAAGGAGAAAATGAAGATGACAAACCCTTTTGGCTTGTTCAAAGCAAGATAAACCTTCGGAGGAAGTTTCTTGGCTAGTCGGCTTCCATTAACGTATATCACATCCTGGGCTGGATCAACCCTGGTCTGCACAATCATCAAAAACAATTAAAGACCTCGTTAACACATACCTGACTAATGATCTTAACAATTAGAAAATATACAAGTTATGTGGTGTATAATAATGTTATCCATAGCTTGTTCAGATAGATGGCAGTAAGGACCTGGGGTGTGTTGCAGACAGAGCCATTGACAGTCACCTTGCCTTGAAAAATCAGCTCTTCACTACTTCTCCTTGATGCCACTGTGAAACTAACCACGTCATGCATATGTGTAATGCATAATTGAAGTGTGTGTGCATGCACGCATGTATAATTGTGACATCACCGTTTTCTTCACAATACTCTACATATTTTTTAGACCTAAGAAATTATCCATGTCTTTAAAGCAAATATTGATGTGTGATTTAACCACAAAAACACGATTAGTTAAGATGTCAATCATAGACATTGTAGCTTTCTCCAAATAAGTATCACATGACTGTCACTTCTCTCTGGTGTCAACGAGTTGACAGTTTGTTGACAACATATCTGGGGAATTTTCATCTTGAAGTCCCAATGCAAGTATACTGCTATATAAACGATACCCCAGGATGACAACCCTCACTACATTCGCTCATATTGCTGTGACACAGATCATGAAGTTGGATGTATCCCCAAAACTTCAATCTTATGATACCAGAACTCTTGCAGAAGTCACATAAGTAACCCCCCATACAAGGTTATGCATTTGAAGGTATATGAAATGGTCTGATTATCAGCTTCTCGGTGCATTGTGCATATTTTCCCTAACTAAATTTGAAAGTAATATGTTTTAGAACAAAAATATTCAAATTAATTACTTTTTAGGAGTTGTTCACTGCAGTTTCCTTGTATGCGGTACTCTACAAGCCACTTCTTTAGTGAGGTAGAGTATTGAAAAATATCGAAGGATTAAATTCAATAAGCTTTTCATCAAGCACCCATTTTCAACTATCAACAAAAACAGTTCTCATCTTAGTTCTATCCTATATACTTTATTCATTTCTTAAGATGTAAGATTCCCTCTATTACTGAAATTTTAATAGGTCAATCAGCATAAGTAGAAATGTTACCTTAGTAATAAATGTATTGGAACTAGTGAACAACGCATGAGTAAGGTAGAAATACTGTTCGGATCATGTTTGGCTACGCCTAGAAAGTACTAAAAGCTATTTTAAGTAAACCAAGTTACTTATATTGAAAGCAACTCTTGCCTTGCTTTCAAAATAAGTAACTTTATCTTCAACTTTCACCAAAGAAAAATTATTTACTTCAATGGTACTTATTTATTTGTAAGCAAATTTCTTAAGCTTATCCATATATGCAAACACTACGCTGGCAGCATTATAATATCTCTGTCAAGAAAATCCTATGATACAAAACTAACAACCTACAATCATCTGAAAGAGCATAATACAAAATATCTTGATGCAAAAACGAAATTTATTTTACCTCCGGAAGCTGCGAGCACCTTCGCTAGCCGCTGCGGTTGCTCCCTAAAATTCTCATTATAGAATCTTCGAGCCGCCTTGGAGTACTTCGGTTCAGCCGTCGAATCTGGCTGCTTGGCTTTGTTAGAATTGTTATTGATATTATTATTATTATTATTAATATTATTATCTTTTTTCTTCTTTTTCTGAGTATTCGCATGGGCCATGGCCTGAATGAGGCGCGCGGGAGGCGTGGTTTGGAGAGTGAGGTTCCCTTTCTCGTCGCGGACAATCCATGGGATGAATAGCTGGTCTCCAAGTTCTGAACTCACTGATTCAGGAGATTCCGAGTTCGGAGCGGGGGTTTGTCGTAATTTGGATTCCGGTTTGAGTTTGGGTTTGGGCTTGGACGGGGCAAATTTGATGTTAAATTCTGTGGTGGTGGATGAAGAAGAGCATGTAATGAGGGTGCGGAGGTGGCGGTGGGCGGTGTGGGACAGGAAAGTGGGCCTGGAAAGGCGGAGGGTGGTGAAAGCACAAGTAGCCGCCGCCATCTGCGGTGGTGATCCCGAAAGTGTTGAAGATAATGAGAAGTGTGAAATTGAGGAGTGAAGGAGTGGACTGGGTCGTATAGTTGCACATTCATTTCACTCGGACTGTGTTTCACTGCATTTATTTTTTATGAAAAATATCAATTTTTAGTCTAAATTCCGATTGCTATTTTTTATTGAAAATATATCTAATTTTTCTTATTTTCAAGGAAAATATTTTCTTCATCAAAACAATGAAGACATTTTTTAATCTAAAAAATATTTTACATCCCAATAAAACATTCTCTTATTGTTTGTGTGAGTTAATACCCTAAATAGTCATTGAACTTTGTCAAAAGTTTCCAAAAGGTCGTCGAACTTCAAAATTTCCCTAAGTATGAAGCTACTGAATTTTGCAAAAAGTTCCTAGGGGGTCATCGAACTCCAAAACTTTCCTAAATAGTCACTCAACTTTGTAAATTGGGACCCCATACATTAATATTTCAGTGACCCCTAAGAAATTTTTGCAAAGTTGAGTGACTATTTAGGGAAGTTTTGAAGTTCAGTGACTCCCTATGAACTTTTTGCAAAGTTTATTGACTATTTAGGGAAGTTTTGATGTTCGGTAACCTTCTATGAGTTTTTGACAAATTTCAGTGACTATTTCAGGTATTAACCCTATTTGTGTTGAAAATGTTTACAAAAAATAGTAATTTGTAATAAAACTGCTTTTAGAGACTTTTAATGTGATTTTATTCACGCAAAATTTTTTTATAAATACATTATATTCTAAATTAATCTTTATTTATTGTCACATTTGTATCCTTAACTTTTTTTCATCCATTCTTATTTTTAACATTTTATTGATCGAAAATCTTGTTTTTAATCTTGATTTTCATCCAACAACATTGCTAACGAGCTTTAAGATGAGAGTCAAATATTTAATTGCACTTTTGCATGTTGTTTTGCTTATTTAAAAATACAATAGGTAAATAAGTTTTTTTCTTTTTTACTCTATTTTGAAGAAAAAATTGGAGAAAAATCGTAATGATGAATAAATTATGTTAATTTGAGAATAAAAATGTGATGAAAAAAACTTTAAGACTTAAATGCGATAGTGTATAAATGTTATGAATTTTTCATGCAATTGAAATGTAATGTAATTATTAAAAATTGTGGTTTAAATATATTTACCCTTCTATAAAAACCTATTAGATGCGTAGGAAATAATAAAATAAAAGAATTACAAAAACAGTGTTAATTGTTTTTGCCACAAATAAATTGTGTTACACTATTTACCAATGGTCCAATACTGACGCCATCTAGGCACCCACCAGCATCAATAGTACCACCATTGGGCCACTACCATTATCGAGGAATCCAAGACCACATTTAATCCACAATCAACCTATATTCACGATCCATATCCAAATAAAACACAAGATCAATGATACAATTGACCTTCGCCTAATCACAAAAACAATGCTGCCACCAGATTGTCGTCATTCGACCCATCTACCTCAATCAGTAAGCACCGTAAAAATATCCCAAAAACAAAACATGAAAGTCATAATTTCTATCAATCTTCACGTCAACAGATATTGAATGTCCTAGTATATACCCACCATTGTAGACCTACACCAATGATGGCGCCAACCTATTCCGTCACTACTCAAGCCATTTGTCTTCATCAACTAGATCAAAATTTGATTCTAGCAGTCTCGTTCTCCTGCCCGCGACGGGCAAGTTTATAATGCCCACTCGGAGAGAACCCAACGTGGGGATCTCACATTTGGAGAGAACCCCACGCAGGGTTCTCCTGCCACATCAGCAGGTGGGCAGGATAGCCCGCCCGCCGCGGGCATGAGAACATTTTCGTTCTATAAATGTAATGTAATTATTAAAAATTGTGGTTTAAATATATTTACCCTTCTATAAAAACCTATTAGATGCGTAGGAAATAATAAAATAAAAGAATTACAAAAACAGTGTTAATTTTTTGCCACAAATAAATTGTGTTACACTATTTACCGATGGTCCAATAGTGACCTTTTGATTCAATTTGGATTCGACAATAATATGGTGACAAAGAGTAGAGAATATATGTGATCTCGATGATGGTGGTTTAATACTGGCTCACCGTAATGTCTCAGAATTTTTTATGATTTTTAGATTTTTCTCAATATTTATCTGGAATTTTTAAGGTACTACTATTTTTCTAATTATTAAATTATAATTAATATAATACTAATAATATAAAAATAGTATTTCAATTTTTTTTATCAAATGTTAAAAATATAATGATATTTTTCTAAAGTACGGGCCCCAGAAAAACTTTAAATAGGGATTGAAGGTTTCATATTTCTTTCTTCCTTGTGTGATCGGGAGCAAGCTGCTCATCCAGTCTAGGTAAATCGTTTTATTTATTATCTATTTAAATAATTATAATTAGGTAAATATATTTAATATTGATCGTGTTGTGTTCCGGTGCGTGTGATTTAATTTTTTAGGCAAAACTTTGATGTTAGCACGTGTGTCGACACATGCTCAATTGCTTGTTTTGTAGCAGTCACAATTCAGTTAATGCTTAGAGTAATGCTATGTAGCTCCACTGGGGTTACAATCTCAGTCTAGATAGTTCTACATGATATGCTAAATGAAAAGTTAAATGATAGGCTAAATGAAAAGTTAAATTAAAAGACTTATTTAATTTCATCAATCATTTAATGTCACATTAACGTCACCAAAACTGTGGTTGTAATCCCAATGAGATTGAATAGTATTACTCTAATACTTATTACCACATCCAAAATGGCAGCAACACAAACATATATGCCATTATAAGAAGAGTGGAATCAAATCCAACTAATGCTACAATTACACAATAAAAATCCCACTTTGTAGCTAAAAAAAATTAATTTCAAAGACTTAATACACGGGCATGACCTTTTCAAAGGATGAATGTGGATCTTGGTTTGAAAAGAGGTGGTGATGGTAGCAAGAAAGCGGTGTGACAACGATGATGACATGATATGATGGTGGCTGCAGCGACAGTCATGAATTTATAAACTTGAAAGAAAATCACAAAAATCATTAACACATATAGTTAAGTGATGGTGGCAGCGATGACGGTGGAGGTAGCCCAGCTACAGGCAAGTTGGTGTTTGCAAGAACTTTTGGAGTTCTACGTGTTAGGTTTTCTTTTGGTTTTTTTTTCCTTTCACGATTAGACTCAAAAGTAGATAAAATGGGAAATAATAAGAGAAAAAGAATAATAGGTTAAAAATATAAGGTATTTATACTAATGTTTAAAAAATAGGGCATGCTTTAAACTTTTTTGGGAAAATTACACACATTATAATTTTCTATTTCAATAATCATGTCAAATGAATTTTCATTCAAAAATTAGATGCCAATCTCCACCCAACTCATTCCACACTCGTTACCATCCTCATATTCACCTATAACTCCAACCCTAACCCCTGTTTTTATTCCTGTTGAACATCATTGCCAGCCACCACGTCCCACCATCTACCATCAACGGAACCACCTCCCAAACACAATCCCCATCTTTGATTGAGCCCACAACACCACATAGGGCCCAAAATTTGCAAAAAGGCTTTCGAATTCGCAAACCAAAAACCTTGAACTATTGTCGTATATTGGACCCACCATTGTAGACCTACACCAATGATGGCGCCAACCTATTCCATCACTACTCAAGCCATGTGTCTTCATCAACTAGATCAAAATCTGATTCTAGTCATGCTACATTTTGTGCTTCTGCATCGATGGTTTTATTGTAGTCCAGTGATGATTGTAAGTTTTTTGAAAAAAGAATTATAGCTTGGCCCAAATTTAAAGTTAGTCCACTAACTATCATATTCAATAGGAAAAAGGGAAAATTATCAAAAGCCAGACATTAAGTTTGACCTTTTAAAAAATCAGGTTTTCACGTTTTTTTTTTCATTTATCAGGTTTTTTTTTTATCATTTTAATTAAATAATTTCCATTTTAAAACCCTAATTCACCAATTCGTCACCCACTCTCGTCTCTCTCTCTCTCTCTCCATCATCTCTCTTTCCATCTTCTCTCGCTTCCTGCCGCCTTCTCCCCCCTCTCTCCTCTACACCCTTCTCCCTCCCTTCCTTCTCTCCCCGGTCGGCGTCTCCACGCTGTGACTCTGCTGTCGGCGTCGCCCTCTCCTCCTCCCTCCCTTCTCCCCCTTTCGGCGTCGTGATGCTGTAGCACCACCGCATCTACGATGTCGTTAACAGTAGCGTCGCGATGCTGCTGTGGTTGAAATCTGTCATTGGAAGGGGAATGAGTGGGCGTCAAATAGGAGGTGGTGGCTGTTGTAGCTGGTGGTAGAGATGTCGTTGTAGGGACGATGGATGTGGGCGAAATCTTTTTTTGTCGCTTGCGATAGTGGAGGTTAGAAATCAATTGTAGCACGATGTTGTTTGTGTGTTGGTGGGTTGTAAATCTGCGTAGTGGTGCAGTTGGTGCTGATGTGTGGTGTTGATGTGTGTTTGTGTGGTGGTGGATTGCAGATTTACGTGGTGATGGTGCTATGGTGGAGGTTGAGGTACGACTGTGGTGGTGGAGCTGTATTTTTGGCCGTGAGGTGGCGGTGGCAATTATTTGGTTAATTATTGTGGCGGGGTCAACGGCGGTGGTGGTTCTTTTTGGTGTTT